GTCGCTTGGTGGGAACTATGGGAAATACATTCTATAGCATACTGGAGTAAAGATAACCCAGAGTAGTCAGAGGGTTAAAGTCAAAATTCTAATCAATTTTTTTTATGGGATTTAAAACTTGTTATTGAAAAAGAATGTTAGATATGTTTAGATTAAAACGTTTATTATTAAAAGAATGTTTATCATTTTGGGAGAAAAAAACAAGACTTGAAATAATAAACAGTTTGATAGTGCTTTTGAATTATTTTAACTGATTTAGAAAGATGACTCTAGTATAGAGACTATAAATTAAACTTGAATTTTATTTGTATTTTTTTTTTCAAAATTTTAGAATAGAAAAACAAAAAATAAGTTCTTGTCACAACCGACAGGTTTGAGATTTGTAATAGAAAATGTTTAGACTGCCAAGATTCTTTTTTATTCTCTCTAGGCATTTGAAAATATCTAATCCTGACAAATCAAGTCTTCATCAATTTTCAATGTAAATCCTTTTTGCTGACACATCACCTTTTGCGATAACAAAGGGGAATTAAAGAAATTCTTTGCTGATAGGTTTTTATTTGTTTAATTTATATTTTCGTAGCATCACCTTTGCGGAGCTTTTGAGCAATGTCGGTATACTGATCAGTGACTTTTGATGCGTCACGCACGTTTATTATTATTCACTTGTGCATATGACATTGTTACTGTCAGACATGTTCACAAAACTAAGAAAGAAAGAGAGAAGACGATGTCCATTCTGCTCACGAATTAAGGGCCCATTCGTTCGTCGACTCACGTTTATAGCAGAGACGGAATAAATTCAAGAGGCATATATGTTCCTCTCTCTCTCTCTCTGTTCCATATCACCTTTTCATCACACTCCTTCTCTTGATTATAAATATATATACTATTTCTCTCTGTTACCGTGTGTCCACAAATTTCCTGTCTCGACGAACGCGAGACTAGAAAATTTCAATAAAAATGCCGATCACGACCTCCAAAAAGTTGAATGAAACTCGGAACATAATAACGGAAGTATTTCAACATTATCTGCACATTTTCATTTTAAAACGATTTATGAATCTAAATGAACTTTTTTTTACATTTTGTATTTTTTTTTTTTTTATAGGAAATAAAACACAAATAATTTTCTTGGAAGGAAGAGATATTTCAATAAAATAAATTATAGAATTTTAAGTGTACTCTTGGCTACTAATAGTAGCAAATAAAAAAGAAAAAGAGGAAATGAAGTGCAATACTAAAAATGGCTGATAAATAGGAAAAATATGGATATAGCAGAATTCCCTCTCATTTTTCCCGTTTAAAGTTGTTCTTCACGAAAAACTGCATACGATATTAAAGCGATGCGCCTCATTGACTGTTGCAACTTTTGTTCGTACTCTTTTTTTCCTTTTTTTTTTTTTTGCATTTTAGTTGGAAAAGTTTGTGTTCCCCACGGTAATTGAGAAAACCGGTTTATCTCATTGTTTACCCTCCCGGTATTGTACTGACAATGAAAATAAAGTTTCCCTTAGTTTCCTTTTATATAGTTTAGGCGTCCAAGTTTACGGGAATTTGCATAAAATCCTCGAAACATTAATCGAAAACACTTTCTTTAAAGAAAAAAGAATCTTTTTCTAAAAAAAAAAGATTAAACCTTTTTAATTTAGTTTATTTACTTAATTACTTCTTCTTTCAAATTAAATTGACACATTTACAGAGAGTGGAATTCGATTAACTGTTTATTTTATCGGTACGATTAGTTGAATAAAAAAAATTTTTGAGAGTCATCGTGAAATTTTTGTACAAGCCCTTCATGTTTACTCGCGTGGCATTGACATTGGAATAAAAGGTGGTTTTGATGAAGTGATATGAATCAAAAATGCGCGCCTACGTATATAGACCAAATGATAAATGCTAATCGTGCATAAAAGCTATATAGTCCCCCTTTCGTTATTTCGAAGACCCCAACTTCGAGAGAGAGAGAGTGTGTGTGTGTTTTCTAAAATGCAGGACGAATAAAAGGCAGACCTTGAGTGATGCCTGGCTGCCTCTGTGCCTGCCATATGCCGTTTTGCTCTCATCCGCTTTTGGTTCTTCAACCTTACATATATAGGTATATATAAAATTCGATCGCCTCGACAGTACATTGCGCGAGTAACAAAACAATTGTAATAATAATTACCGTTGCAATAACAATAACGCCAATGCAATGATTGCAACAATAACCCTCCTTTGGAGCAGCTGCTACACTCTCGTTATATTATGTATTGCATATTATATACATTGATCCCTTCAATACTGTTTCAAAATTAAATTCAAGAAAAAAGAATTGTTTCTCATGGGAAATTTCGAAAAATATACAAACTGCTATAGGTAAACAAAACGATTTTTGACAAAATCATTTTTTTCTACTATATAAACTTACGTCGGTGAAATTCACGTTTATGTTCAACGATTTTTAAAAGAAAAATTATTTTTCTATACAAATTATTACAATTTTTTTTTTTTTTTTTGAAAAAATTGTTGCAATGTTTCTTGATAAATAAAATAAATTTGTAAGCAAAAAATTTTTATTATTTTTCACGTAAAAATTTTTTTTTTTAATATCGTTGATCATAAACGTTGTAAACTTCATCGACGTATAAACTTTTCGGAATTTTATTTTAATATTATTTTATATTATATAAATATTATTTTAATTTCTGATTTTTTTTTCGATTTTTTTTGTTCCCTTTGATTAATTTCTAATAATAAATTGGAAAAATAATATTCCGATGCATAAAAATATCGTAAAGGTTTACCGAATTAGCGTTTAAATGAACTTTTATTTAATCTTCCGTTGACACACTTATAAAGGTTTGACATTTTTTTTTTTCTTCATTTTTATTTTTTTAAAGCGACGTCAGTTGCAGACTAATTACTTTTTCGACATTCGATTTATATAAACGTATAGATACATATGGTCAAACTATTGGTGGATGACACTAACAGTTGTCGGAAAAAAAAAAATCTAGGGTATTTGCGGTCGAAAAACTTTTTTTCCCTCGGTCAAAAATGGTTTGACAGAAAGTTGATTACATTCGTTATTTTATACTGATATTTTACATTTAACGAAATTTTTATTTATTTTTTATTTATAACAAATATTGTTATTTAATGAAAATGACATTTAGAAATTAGGTAAAATATGAAAATCGGTTTATTATTATATTTTTTATATTAAAAAAACAATTGAATTCTTTTACTTCTTTTTTCCATTCTTTCGATTATAAATTAAATTCAAATAATTTATTTTTAAAAATAAAAATTTATTCTTCATAATAAAAAAATTCCATTTTTTAATTTAATATAAAATTTAGTAAAAATAATATTCAGGATAATTCTTTTTATAAACTCAATTTCAACTTCATATTGAGAGTAAATTAACTGAAAGTAATTTTTTACATTATGAAAATATTCATATTATATATTTGTATGTGAAAAGGGTTTTTTTCTTTTATAAAAGTGAATTTTTAAAATTAAGTAAAAAATAATATTATTAATGAAAATTTTTAATTCATTAAATAAATATTTTCATTTCTTTTGTTTTTTTTTTCAGAATATGAAAATTTTTTTTTTTTCGTAAAAATCTCTCTCTAGTGTACTGGATTAAAAAAATATTTTAAACAAAACAAATATGACAAATTGTTTAAATATGAAACAGCAAATATTTGTATTTAGTTTTATTGTTACGGTATTAAAAAGTAAATAACATTGGAGAGCGATATTATCATGCGATCCACTTTTTTTTTTTTTTTTTTTTTTTGAATGATAGAAATTCGTAAATGAATTATTGGAATGTAGACAGAGAATAATAAATCTCAATCTATGTGGCGCTATATATATATATAATATGTATGCGTGAGTCTTAATTTTTAAAAAAGATTTGTGTCGTTGTCACTTGAACTTGCGACCTCATTTCTTATATACATGTCTTCGTGGTTAATAAAAAGACATGAAACTGAACTTTCTGACCGACAGTCTATCTAGTCACCTATTGGATGACATTTATCTACTCTATAGCTATACCTGTGCTCATAAATACCAATTCGAACTGACTTGGAAGATTGATGTATCTTCCAGCAAGAGACATTGATCCAACGCAGTGTTTCTCAAATTACAATTCTCTTTTGGATTGACCACTATTCGGAGATATATATATATATATATATATATATATATATATATATATATATATATATATATATATATATATATATATATATATGAGGAGTGAGAGAGACGGAGAGAGTGAGAAAAAAGAATAAAATAAATAATTTACCTTTTCCACGCGGTTCGCGTCTACCAAGTGAGACTCCTTCCGACTGCTCACGGTCTAATAAATTTTGTTGGTCCCTTCAAGGCCAACGAACTTTTTTTTATTTTTATTTCTGTTTCTCAAGCTCTCTTATCCCCGTCATCGATTTCTGATGACTCTCGCTTTATCTCGAGTCCGACAAACATTTCTCTCGACACTATATTTACACAGGCTTTGTTAATCTCCTGCCACAACTCTGACTCGCCAAGTAGCCATGGTCATTTTAATAATTTATAGTCACTTGAAAAATATAGTATTAACTCAATTTCATTGATTTCAATATTGTTTGATATTTTTGTACGTTATGCAAATGATTTCCTACCTATTGTACTACTTGTAAGAATTTTAATTTATCACTTGGTACAGCAAATTGTCATTTTCATATTATTTAAATTCAAAAGCTTTGCATAATACACAAATGTTTGTTAATGCGTCAATATCACATTTATTATTCATTCTTATTATTTACTTTATAGAAGAATTTCTATACAAGAATTTTTAATCAGACACACTTGACAAAGAGAAAGTTCATTGTAAAGAAAACATTTTTCAAAAAAAAAAAATTTATATTACGCAATACATAGTAATTGGATAACAGAATTTATCATTAATTTTGAAATTTTTTATCTATATTAATTTATTTAATTTTCTTTTTCAGATGGCTGAATTTTTTTTCTATCACATCCTCGTTTTGAATTGGTAAGTCGAAAAAAAAAAAAAATTTATCTCTTATCAAACATTTCTCACCCACGTTCTTATCATTGTCCGCTAGCAATTTTCCATATCCTTTCCTTATAAAGTTCACTCGTAAACTAAATTCTTTGAAAAGAAGTGCGGGTTTATTTTTACACCTCCATAAACGATACTGGGATTATTATTATTACACGATGGCCATATCACGGATTTTTCGTCCTAAGAATCCCATAAGTCGACTATAGAAGTGAAATAAAAATTTTTCCTCACTCGCGCTCTCTCAGCAAGTTTGCAATTTTCATTGGATTTCCTTTAAAGAGGGTTAAACGCCCGTTGGCGAGATTTTCATCTATTTTTTTCTCTCCTTTTTCTTTTTCTCAAAGAGGTGGTAAAATGTTTCGCGTTTGCAGTAATGGTGAATCATTTTGAAACGTCTGTTTTTCCAAAGCCAAGCTGTGTCGACCGCAATCTCTTTCGTTATTAAGGTTTTTGACGTAGCACACAGATATCTCTCTCTCTCTCTCTCTCTATTCTTTTTTACTCGCTAGAAACGTCGAGGCCCACTTTCCTCAGCCATTTCCTTTTTATTGTATAGGGGATGAAAGCGTTTTACTTCTCTCTGTGTCTATGTCTGTGTGTATTAGTACGCGCGCGCCCTCATCGTATTTTTGTCAGTGAACAAGGTAACAATATGATAATAGGCGTTCACTCAAACCACCCCCATTTTCTTCTGTCCTTATACCTCTTATCATTCTCACTACGTCTAGTCAGGAGACCGTTTTCATTTCAAGGAAAACATTAATACGACCTCAAAACCCTGAACGTCGGAAACACTCGCTCTATCTTAATAACAAAAGCTGACAAAAAATTAAAAATAAAACCACGATTTTTTTTTGTGTGGCATTATACACACACACACACACACTTTGCGAAACTTTGCATTGAAAATATCCTTTTCATCCATTTCTCTAATTATTAAATTTTTTTCATAGACGCGAAGAAATTTTATTTTTATCACCGGGGAAAATTATTTAAAAAATCATTAAAAATCCATTTCTGAAATGCAAATATAGGCCAATTTATAAGAATTTGCAAATTTAATTATATTAACTATTTATAAATTAATAAAACTAACAATAAAAAATTAATTTATAAATCACTAGAAATCCATTTCTAAAATGCAAATTTAGGACAATTTATAAGAAGTCGCAATCTCGCAATTTAATTATTAACTTTTTATAAATTATTTATCTTCATTGGGTCAATCGTGTTTTAAATAATAAAAATATAAACTTAAATTAATTTAACCGGATTTAAATAGCTAGAAACAAATGCTATTTTTAATCATTTAATTGCATAAAGAAAATTTATTTTTTTTTGAAATAATCATCGATTACTTGACTATTATCAAATAATAATTATTTGTTACAAATAAATATTATTTATATGATAATAGTCATGTAATCGAGTAGTTGAATGAAATAAATTTTTTTTTTCAATGCATATAACAAAATTATTTGATTCGAATAATTGGACACATTGTAATGGATTTGTTTTCAATGTAAATATCTATTTTCATTTATTTATCATATGAAAAGTAGTTAAATTTTTAACATAGTTGTTATAAAAACTATATAATAAAATTTTATTTCAATTATTGAAAAATTCTATTGTTTATACAAAAATTTGTTTATATAGAATTTTTGATTTGTTACGTTATTATTAAATTTTTTATTTAAACTAAAATTTTCAAACACACCTTCATTGTTTTATATTAAATTTATTTCACTAAAACAAAATTCGTTGGAAATTTGAAAACATTTCGAAATTCTATTTACGTGAAAAATTAAATGAATATAATAGAGAAAATTTGTATAGAAACAAGCGTTATTAGAAAATTTTAATTAATAATATATATGTAACTGAAACAGGGTGTCTAACGGTCAGGGAATTTCAGAAAATTTCATTCAAAGTCAGGGAAATTTCTGTAAATTTTATACAAAAATTAAAATTTTTTGTAAATTTAAAAATTTTTTAATCCAAAAAAACTTGAATGGTTTTTATTACCATTTGTTACTACCATTAGAAATTAATTTTTTGTTAAATATGTCAATAATCATACTTTTGTCCAAAGAAAGCAGAAATAAAGTTATTAAAAAGTCAGGGAAAAATAAAAAAATGTCAGCGAAAGGTCAGGGAATTTTTTTCTCAATCCTTGTTAGACACCCTGTAAAAAAAACAATTTTTAAATACTTTTTTATACAAATAAAATAAAATTGATTTAATTCAAATAAAAATTATTTGATTTAAAAGAACCTAAATATTTATTTGATAATATTCAAGTATAATCAAGTATTTAAATCAAATAAATTTTTTTTCATGTAGTTAAATTTTACTAATAATTAAAAGAATTTTTTATGAGCCAAAAATTTTGAACGTTCAAATGAACGAAATATATTTTCTAATCTACAAATTATTAAAAATTATGATGTCAATGTAAAATAACACAATAAATTAAACAATTATTAAATTAAATAAATTCTTTTTAGATATTTAAAACAATATTTTTTAATAAAATTCATACTTAAAGAAGTTACAAAAAAAATTTCGTTCATTTGAACGTTCAAACCTTTTGGCTCATAATTTTTTTACTAATTAATATTTAAAGAGCAGATAATATTAATAAATTGTTCTCAATTTGCACAGAATCCTAATCATTTTTTTAAAAAAAATAAAATTCCAATTTTTTTTTTTTCATGAAAAATTTTGTTTTTCGAGCTTTCTTCGCAAGAAAAAGGATTTATTTTTCATTAACGTACATTTTTCAAAATATTTCCTATCTTGAATCACGGGAAATTCAATATGTTCAAGTAAGCTAGAAGAGATATTAACCTTTGATTGAAAATAATTTCCACTCTAGTAACAGTAAGACGTACAAACTCAGTGAGAGAAGTACATACTGTAGACTTATCGATTCAATTGTAAGTTTGGACCATCTCCAGGAGTAATGCACTAAATTTAGTGGAGTCGAGCATAATTGAGCCTCTCAAGAGTCGAGTTGGTTACTTCTGCGCTTCATTGATCCTTTATACTCAACGATTGTTAAGTTTCAGATTACTTCTACGAAACAGTGTAACTCGAAACTACTACCATCTTCTTCTCTCTCTCATCATATTATACCAGATTTGATACACCCTCTAAAAAATTCCCAAGAATTGCAGGAAAAAAAAAATTATTGAAAAAAGACATGCTTGTAAGATTAAAAATTTGAAATCGAGATGCGATTTTACATAAATCAGAATTCGGAATTGTTATAATATTGGAAATACATTCACAAAAAAAAAAAAAAAAAAAACGATTTCCCTTTCAATAAGTCATCAAATTTAAAATCTATAAAAGTTTAGTGCTTTAAAAAAGTATAGTCAGTTCTGGTTTCAAGTGATTTGAAAGTGGCCTATTCACAATCGTGTATTTTTATGAGCTGGTGAAACTATTTAAATAGACCCACCTAAAAGTAATAAAACGATTATTCCACCTAACAGAATAATAATGTCATATATATATTTTATATTTCAAATGTTTAATAATCCCACCAACGAATTTTCATATACACACTCTCTTTCTATATAAATTCATTCATATTTCAATGAAATTTAAATTTTAATTAATGCAATTCAAACGGTTCTCTCATTTTATTTAGTTTATATAATATCCATTTTTTTTATTATTATTATTAGCATTATTACCCCAGAAACTTTTTTTTAAATAATCCATTTTGTATAATTATTGCCTATTATATATAATTTACAATTCAGAAATTTAACGATCAAACTTCAGTTTTAGCAAAAATCGTAAAAAAAAAAAAATTCATCCTGTTTATTCACTGATTATAGAGAGAAAACTTGTTTGCAATTTTATTGCGCTAATTAAAAGATTTCGACAAATTGAAATTTATTTTTTAAACGGAAAATAGAGAAAACAATTATGAAGTTCACTATTCAACGTAAATTATTATTATTATTTTTTATTATTATATTATTATTTATTATTATTGTTTTATGTTTTTTATTATTGTTTTTTATTTTTTTTATTATATTATTATATATGAGAAAATTAGTAAATTTGTTAACACTGCGCGACTAGTTTATTTATTCAAAAAGTTTCATGGGCAAATGATGAACTTGTTATAATAACAATACATCCAATCAGAGCAAGAGTTTAGCAAAAGATGCGTGCGTAAAAAAGTTTAGTTCGTATACTTTTGTGTCGTGTACCTTCGAAAACCGGTTAAAATACCCGTGAAATGGGGAGTAGGGTAATAACGGAACAATTAGAGACTCGTTAAGAACGCTTCTTGTTGAATAATTTTTCGCAATCAGACATAATTTTCGAGAGAGATAGATAGAGAAGAGAGGGAGCAAAAGAATAAACATTCTTTAACTCAATTGCACCATCGATCGTGTATAACATCGCAAGTATTATGTATATTATAAGAACGCTTCTGAATAAAATGCGCGCAACACTTTTATTTCGCGAGACAGCTCTGACAGTTCAAAACCATAAGGTTTCGTATATGTAAAAGCCAGATGATAAATCGATGAAGTACATATCCATTATTATGTGCTATGAGATATATCCGCTTCTTGAAAAGAGAATGTAACTTAAAACTCTGTTGATGTCATTGAGTCATCGACGAATTTTTTTTTTTTTATTTATTTATATATTCCGCAGGGAAAAAAAATATTTCCAAATTTTATCTCATTTATCTTATTATAAAAAAAAATGCTATATTGGGAAAGATTGAAATCTCGATTTTGATATTTCTCTTACAGGTTTCCTTCTAATGTGAATTTACATTTTTTGATTATCAATAATTCTCATGGTCGCTTTAATTAGTATATGTGTGAGTTCAGGGTTGTTTCTTCATTGATCTTTTCGTTTCGTTTTTTTCGATGAAAAAGAATCGACTTAAATATATATATAAAGCTACACTGAAAAAAAAAATA